ACTAAATAATCAAGTCGAGGTCAAGTTAATTCAAAAAATAAATTTTAATTATTTAAACACAATTTGGTGTGGAATTTTCTTACCGAATACCACACGAGGTCAAATTAAATCAGGAAATTTTTTCTCCCTCATGAATATTTTTAGAAAATTATCCCTCGTCTTCGACTCGGGATAATTTTCAAAATATTCATGAGCTCGAAAAAATTTCCGGAAATAATTTGACCTCTAGTGGTATTACTAGTGAAAATTTTAATTTAGTTTCTTTTCGCATTTTTTATTGCTTAAGAATATTTTCAAAAGATGGTCCTCATGCCCCCACTACATTATTACATTTATCTCTTTTTTTGTCAAAATAAATTAAATTTCAAAAAATCCCTTTATAGCGATTATCAATCTCATTAGGGAAATGTCAAAATAACAGCTCTTTGGTCGAGCAGTTTAGTCTGGGAGTTGATCAATCATTCAGGACATGTAATTATATTTATGATTCAAGTTGGCTTTTTTCACTTGAGTAGCATAAAAATAATTTGTTTAGTCCAAAACAATTTTAAAAAATCTTCACATTATAAAAAAATTTGGTGCAATATAATTATCAGTACTCAGTAATATATTTCGTAACTTTAACCCACTGCACTGTATCGCGGACTCGTTAAATAGGTATAAGGAATCCGAATAATAATAATAACAGATTTCTGGTAATATACAGGGTCCGGCATCAGAATTGAACGGTTTTGAAAAGGCTGCTATGGAAATACTATTGATTTGGTATATGTCAAATAGTGACAGACTTATACCTTATTACCAAAGGTTTCGTGTGCAATGTCAAACTGGTCGGTTAATAAACGGATCTTTGCTGTAAATTCGTTTACCCTGACCCAGTCCTTCGTATACAAACGAAGAGACGCTTTCGTCGTGAATATAATTTTTAAGTGCGACCTGAAGTCCCATAAAAAAATGCCATTTTGAGATGGGTAAGAGATTTTAACGAAAAAGGCAGTGTAAAATCAAAATTTGCCGTACAGTTTGTACACAAGAAAATATTGGAAGAGTCAGAGAAGCGTTTGAGCGGCACTCGAATGCTCTACACATTTCAGACCGAAGTTTGCGACGAATGTTACATCTGGATTTAAAACTCCATCCAAAAAACCGACAGTCCAGAGGCTGAATCCCATTGATAAAGTCAATCGACTCAATTTCTGCACACAATTTTTAATTGCCATTGTACACGAAACTTTCTGCAATAAGGAACAAGTCTGTCACTATTTGACATATATTAAATCAATATGTAGTATTACCATAGCAGCCACGAAACTTTCGGCAATAAGGTACAAGTCTGTCACTATTTGACATATATCAAATGTAGAGTATTTCCATAGCAGCATTTTTAAAACCGTTCAATTCTGTTGCCGGACCCTGTATTATAAACACTCTGGACAGTTGTTACGAACACGTTACGAATTAGAATAAAGTAAGCAAAAATATAAGTTGCAGGTTGAAATGAACAAAATGCTTGAAAAATTGCATATTACCTTTACAAAACTTTCGGTAAAATATTTTCCTTTGTTAAAATAATAACAAACCCTGGTTTTCTACAAAAATGTTAACATTTTTCAAAATTAAATTAACAAACTCATGTGTTACTTAGGACCAACTTGATTTTGCACATAAATATAAACATAAATATTTATACCTTTATAGTTTTGATGTAATTCTTAATCTGAATCACTGTGAGGTGGCTTGTAAACTCAACCGAAGCTAATTTGCACATTTTAGTCGATCGAAGCGAAATTTCTTGATCGTTTCTCCGAAACCGAAGCCGCCGCCGCCGCCTCCACTCTCGGTTTAATAATAAAAAAACCTCGAACCTGCAACTGACAGATTTCTAATAAACGGCGTGATAAATTTTTAAGTTCGACGTTCGACGACGGCCAACTTGTAACCGACCAACACACGGTATTTTTATATTTGCTGCTGCCGCCGCGGCGCGCCGTCGGTTCAGTTCCGCAATCGCTTGCATCGAGATGTAAATTACACGCCGATTGTATAAATCACCGGGTTTACGACAAATCGAATTGACTTGTCCAGAAAATTGATCACGCGCCACTGCATTAGACTCTGATCCAAATACAAATTGCCATTTTTATATCATTTGCGCGATTTGGCTTTAGTTTTATTGATTTATGTATATACTGTAAGTAAGGGAAAAATATTTTACATTTCTCAGAGAAAATCATTTCTGATAAAAAATTTTGCTTGATTTTAAACCCCCAGAATATGCGACACATCATTTTTATTGTCTATATGGTTAATTTTGCAATTTTAATTTTTCTAAACATTTTGGAGTAAAATTTTTTTGACTATTTCCCTCGTCTTTATTTCCACCAATCACAAACGCGCAATCTTGAATTACAAATGGTTTCTAGGTGGAAAAACGGTATGACAGCACCTGTCAGCAGTTTTTTCGAGTTTACCCGCAGCAAAACTTGACAGCTGTTGTCACCAAAATTGCAATTTATATTTTAATTGTACCATAAATAATTAAGTTTGTACTATTTTGTGATTAAATAAATTACCTATTTTTCAGTTTTCAAATTAATACCTACCTACATATTTATTATAATAGTATAATAGTATAATAATAGTTTTAGTATAATAGGTGGTATGTTTTGTAAGCTACATAATATGTGTATGCAGAATAACTGTTACTCATGAAATAGTCTTATCACCATTCGGTCATCTAATTTTTCCTGTGAAACAAATCAAAAAAACACAATGGTAAGTAATATTTTTTAACAAAATGCATTCGTGCAGGTGCAAAAATCCTTGTCTTCGACTCGTATTTTTGTTGCCACCAGCACTCATGCTTTTTGTTAAAATATAACTTAGGAACGTGTTTTTTCGATTTCTTACGGAAAAATTAAATGCCCTTATGATATTACTTACGATAAAAATCATTTTTGGTTAATTTTTACAAATTAACCATGGCCAATAAAAATTATGTATATGCAATACAGAAGGTTGAAAACCGGAAAAAACTTCATCACGAATAAAATTTTCTAAAAAATGTAAAATATTTTTTCGTAGATTTATTTTAAATATATATACAGTATAACCCATTTGTTTGCGACTCATCGCCATATTTTTACAAAATACAAGGCCTACTGTATGAGGCGCCATATGTTTCATAATTATTTCATTCGATATATAAAATGTTTTACAGAAAAAATAATATATAAGTAGAATTTACAACACATGGCGCCTCATACTACTCTGACAGTTTTTAAGAGTAAATATTTAAGAATTTATTTATAGCGATTTTTGTTAAATCTATGCACCTACATATACACTTAAAACGACCCTATCCTAAATTTTATTCAAAAATTTTAAGTAGGAACGATTTTGTAGCCAAATTCATATTTGTTCTTGAGTAATGGCTACACAGGCTTGTATTACCCTAGCGCGTAGTTCTTTTGCAGTAGAGGTGACGAAAATCTAATTGCACTCTCTAAAAAAGAATTAGTCAAAAATGACTAATTACTACAGTTATTAGTGGCTGCGTTTTCACTTATACCATGGTATACAATAGCCAATTCTTAAGTAAAATTATAATCCGAAAATGTCAAAAGTTATAAAAGTAAAACAGTTTTTTAAATACAGTCAATTTAACATATAATATGGAATTTACTATATCTCAAAAACTGCTTTACTTTTATAATTTTTGACAATATTTTCGGATTCAGGGGGCAATTTCACATAAGAATTGGCTATAATATCAAGCTATCAGGTATACCAAGGTATAAATGAAAAAGCAGCCACTAATAACTGTAGTAATTAGTCACTTTTGACTAATTCATTTTAAGAGAGTAGAGAATTTTTTGAATGCAATATTTTTAGTTTTAAGTTTCCATTGCGTTTTTTTGTCAAAACTAAGCATAGAAATATTTATACCATGTTACTCAGCCATTCCACGCTATTCGGGAATTTTTGTAGCGTCCGTTACAATCAAAAATTGTGAGTAAAAGCTACCGTAATTAAATTAAATACTGTTACAATAGTAAATATTGCAAACATGTTTATTATGCTTGTAATAATTAGGCTTAAACTTATAAGCTTAATAATTACGGTAGTTTTACTCACAATTATTGATTGTAACGGACGCTACAAAAATTCCCGAGTAGCGTGGAATGGCTGTACTATTAGTTTAATTTTATTTCAATGTTTTTTCCATGGAAAACTTGACAGATTAAATTAAATTAAATTTGGTATAGGGTCGTTTTGAGAGGTGGTTTAAATTGCTCATATGAGTTCTCAAAAACTGACATAGGTAGGCCTTGTATTTTGAAAAAATATGGCGTGTTTGCTACAAAATACAGTTCGTCAAGATCTACACTTTATAACAAATCTGGCTAAAAACGCACAATAAATAAAGATTTTACATGGGTGAATCTCAAACAAATGGGTCACACTGTATTTTAAATTATACAGGGTGCTTTAAAAAACATGCGTCAATGCTCGGCTGGAGATTCCAAAAATATGTAAAAAAAAATAAGAGAGAGTTTTTGTTTAACTGGAAAAAGGTGCAAACGCATATATGCGTTTTGTCAAACGAGGTAAGATTCTAAAACAACTCAAGATACAAAAAAGTTTTTAGAGGCCTATCGTATTTTTTAAATTTATCCCATGATTTTTTTTCCTAAATTATTTTATTCACGTTCATTAATAATTATTTTACCAAAACAACAGGTGTATTAGGCTTATTAAAATAAAAAGCAATAAAACTGGATTATTTAGTCATATATAAGCAATAACAAAATAAATACTAAAAGTGTAAAATATTTTCTAATGTTATCTCAAAAACTTATAGATGTCATTAAAGGTATTAACAGACATAAATAAAACACCTAATAAAGATATTAAATAACATAGTAGAATACTAAAATTCATGCAATAATAGTAAATATAATAAAAGCAACAGAATATATTTATATAATTTTTCTTACCTTTAATTCGCAACAACCCATGTTATTTTAGAATATATCAACCTTTACGAGGTATTCAACGTTGTATAAATCTGAAACAAAAAATTAATTTAATAACAATAAATAAATACTTCTATTTTTTTTATTAAAAAAAATTTTATATTTCATATAAACCGATACCATTTATTTCTTAATCAAGTTTGTAATAAAACGTTGGAAGAAAAAGTAACGACTTATAAGTCAAAAAGTCAGACTTAATACAATTAAAAAAATACAAACTCAATAATTAAAAATATTTTTTTATTAGTATGAAAAATATACAGTATGTTAAATAATATATCTATTTTAACAAATGTGTCATTTTTTACCCTCCACTGGAAAATATTTTAACTACGAATTCCTTGAGACCATTCTAAGAAGATTATCTTTTGAAATTGTCAAAACTAAGCCAATCAAATCGCGTCATTTTCATTATTCTTGTCAAGTATAGATTTATTAAAATTCTATAAGCTAAAGCTTTAATTTTAACCCGTTTTAGGGTGCAATTAGAATTGTGAGAAATATTAATTTTTTTATCAAAATAAAAATATTTATTCTACGACCAATATGTAAAAGTCACATTTCGTAATGGCATCGTTGCTTAGAAAATGAATCTTTTCATTGGCAAGGCAAAACACGAATGTAAAGTAATATTTCTGTGTGAAAAGTAACAGGTCTGTGTGAAAAGAAATTGACAGCATCGTTTGACATTCGTTTTAATATTTGTATTGTATTTGTATGTTTGTCTAAATATCATTTAGAACACAGTTAATTGTGTTTGTATAATAAATTCAAATTTTTAGAGCCTTTATTTAAATTGAGAAGGTAACTTTATTGATTTTAAGTAACTTATACAGGGTGTCTCATTTGGTTTTTCACTTTTTGAATTTAAAATTAAAAAAAACCAATCGATCAATTTTGACAATTTTTTTATTAAACTAAAGAAAAAACTTGGGAAATTTATTTGTTTTAAATTATATTGTCCAAATGTTGCCCATTTTTTTCAGGACACTCTTGAAGTCGAGCTCTAAAATTTGCAATCACGCTCCGAAAAGTTTGCTCACTTATGGCTTTCATTTCTGCCCGAATATTGTGCTTCAAGTCCTCCAAATTGGCAGGGTGGTTACGATAAACTCGACTTTTAAGATATCCCCTTAAAAAAAAGTCACATGGAGTCAAATCCGGGCTTCTGGGGGGCCAATTTATGTCTCCTCTTCGGAAAATCAGTTTTTCAGGAAAAAACGCCTGAACAACGGGAAAAGATCGATTTGAAGTGTGACTTGTGGCTGCGTCTTGTTGAAACCAGCTTTCTTGGTCAAATTCTTCCAATTCTTGAAGAGCAGGTGTAAAAAAATCACGTATCATGTCGACATAACGCCTGCGAACCGACAAGTTTGGTTCCTGCCGCACAGACGCTCTCACCATCTCAATGTTTTCAGGGCTTCTTATTGTTCTTAAACGGTTGTTTATGCGTTTATTTGTCTTTGAACCAGTCTCTTCAAACTTACGAACCCATGCCCTAATTAAATTAATGCCTGGGCATGGTTAAATGTCGTGTAAATTGTAATGGCGTCTAAACAAACGTCGAACGAGAGTGCAAGAATTGCTATTTTTATAAAACTCGCGCACACAAAAAGCGCGTTGTTCTCCTGTGTAACGCTGCATGTTGACTAAATTTCCCAATACCAAGCGTTTGTTTACGACTAACCCCACGCTTCCAACCCACCTAACAACTTTTTTACAGGGCCACAAAAAGTGAAAAACCAACTGAGACACCCTGTACCTTAAAAATTAAAAGAATAAGATGAAAGTAATTTTAACAGCTGTCAAACACGTTTTTAAGTTATTTTGTTTTGCATTTAAAAATAATAAAAAATAAAAGGGTCGTAGAAAAAATATTGTGTTTTACATGTGAGAAAAGCTTTCTTCAAGCCTGACGGCCTTGTGAGCAACTTAAACACTTGCATGAAAAGGTGCTTTTCAACACTTGTAAAACAAATAACTATTTTGTATTTTAATTTTATAGTAAAAATGTGTTTTATCGTCCAAAAAAGCGTGATTTTATTTATAAAAGCAGTTTTATAGTTTAAAAATGCTTAAATTGTAAATATCTTAACTAAGGAAAGTGCTTTTTGATTTATTTACACACATTGAATGTTTAAAGTTTAACCTGTGTCCTAATTTCATCTGAGTAAACAGAAAAAAGCCGATGAAAAAATTAATTTTGTGGTTATGTAGTTTTTAAAATAGGTACTAATTTTTCTAATCATTGCTTAAGCTAATAGCTGGATAAGGAAATAAATACAGAAGGGTATTAGAGCTTTAAGGGGATACAACTTTTGTATTTATTGAGTTTTTATTTATTTTTTGCAAGAAAATTTTTAGTTACAATTTTTTACAACTGGCAACGCGGTTGGTATCTATAAAATAAATTTATAAATGGATATAGATAGACAAACATTATTTTTACACATAATTTTATTACAATTACAATGTTTTTGTATTTGTTGTAAAGACAACCCTAGGGTAATTTAAAATTGGAATGGCGTTATTTAAATTATTTATCCAATTAATATGCAAAAATTATTATTTACGTTCGGAATTTTAAACAACATTATTGCATGCAGAAATTGTCCAAAAATATGATGACAATAAATATTATAAAATTTAAATATTCTATTAAAATAATAAATAAAAAGTTTGTTTGCTAGTATTTTATTATTTTTAAAAAACAAGTGTTTTATTATTAATACGTTATTAGTATATTTGAATTTTTATTTACATAATTATTTCGTATACGTATTTAAAAAGCACCCAAATTTGTATTTTTTACTAAGTTTGCAATATTCATGTGTATTTTACGTAACATTTTCTGACGATTTAGGACAAACCCTACAACTCTTGTATTTAAAATTCGGGCGCTGTCGAAATATACGGAATAACCCTGTAAATAATATTTTAATATATAAAATAAAATCAGCTTATTCTAAGTTAAATAAATAAACAAAAAATGTGCAAATTAACTAATTTGGTCAGAATTGGTGAAAATGTCAAAATGTTTGACCATAAAAATTAATTAATTAATTTTTTTTATTTAATTTTTAGAAAGTTATTTTCAAATGAACTTTTCAAACAAAATCTAGTTATTTTTGAACTGATAAATCGATTTTGATAAAACTTTGGCATATCGAAGGAAAAGAAATTGACTTTGGAATTTTTTTTTTTAATTTTCAAAAATTCATTTTTTCATGGATAACTTGACAAAATACATTTTTGTAAATATTGAGCTTTTTTAATATAGCTACAAAATCCTTCCTACTTAAAATTTTTGCTCAAAAATACAGTTTATTAAGATCTAGACTTTAAAACCGGTTAAAATCACAATAAAGATTTTAAAGGGGTGAGTCGCAAACAAATGGGTCACAATGTACATATATACAGGGTGATTCACCAAAATTATTCATTATTCTATAGAAGTTTATTATCGATTTGAAACTAGTTTAGCCAATTGTCAGAGACGTTGATATTGACATTACTTTATAAATACAAATAAAAGTCAAACCAACGCATTTTTGTCATACCTCTGTAAATATTCATTTTAGGTATAGGGAATGCTGCAGCATTTCAATAGAAAACATTATTTTATGTGTCGAATGATTGTATGATAAATATCTAAGAAACTGTTCAAGATACAAAAATAATCAAATTTTAGTATTTCTAGAATTTTACGTAGAATTTAAAAATGCAATAATATTTATGTATATGGTTCTATTTGAAATACCAAAGTTGATATCACTTTCGGTTTTATCGGCGATAACGCATTAAAAATAATTTTAAAAAATAGTTTACATTGGCTTATAATTGCAATACAAATTTCAAATCGATACCTTTTTCCGTTCTGTATAATACAGTGGGTATCAGCCTAATGGAATATATTCGATAATCCAAAAAACGCTTTAAAAAAACTTTTTTTACAGGGTGTATCATGTCTTATTTTAAATGCAACACCCTGTATATTATTCAATTTTTATAAAAATTGTAGACATATTTTATGTACAGGGTGATCCCCTATAATGTCACCCCCCTTTAACTTTTTTATTTTAAGGGTCCCAAAAAGTTTAAAAGTATGGTTATGTAGGTACTAAAAAATACTTTTTCTACGTACAAAAAATATGGAAAATTGATCAGTATACAGTATACAAAAAGTTTATTTGTTCTCAATGGAACACACTATATATATATATATATATATATATATATATATATATATATATATATATATATATATATAGGTATACCTAAATGAATTGATTTTTAGATTCCTTATAAAATTGTAAGCATAATTCATATAACAAACCGTTCCTGAAATATTCGCATTTGAAACGAAATTATACAATTTTTCGGTTACTCAGTTCGGCTACTATTAAAAAGGTGTACCTCTCAAACTTCGATAAAATAAACCGTTTCCTAATTATTCGAGATTACAATAATTGTTATATCGCATTAAAGAACTAAAAGGTATGTGATAACAAATTTTTTAATTGAAAAAACTACATTTTTTTTAAGTGACGGTCAGGGCAAAAAGTCTCGAGGCTCAAGGAATACCCTTTTTAGTTTTTTCAATTAAAAAATAAAATTTGTTGTCATATACTTTTAATTCTTTTTTCTACTCCCACCTTTAAAACGACCATTATCGTACATGTTTTCATGACACTAAGTGACCTTTTAAATACCCATTGACAAGTTCTGGCTTTACTGCGTTTTAGTCACGGGCTAAAGTTAGCAACACGTTTTTAGTCACGGGCTGAAGTTAGTTTTAAGTTAGTTGACAGTTGTCAAATGTTATACAATCGTTAAAATAAAGTGCCTTTTTTGTAAAATAATACTAAATGTGAAAATTATTTTATTATCTCAATACAAAAATAAAAAAGTATTAAATAGTTTCTCAACGCCAATATTTCAAAAGTTTATATTAACATTGTACTGACCTTTTAATTTCGCCGGCAGTAAACTATAACTTAAATTCGGGCACGGACTCCACTGTAAAGTGCTC